ACGTTCAAACACATAAAGGACAAATACAAAAAGAAACCTACAATGAAAAGACGCTCAACATCACTAATCATTTGAGAAATGTACAATGAGATACCACTCAACACTCATTAGGATGGCCGCTATTTTTTTAAGAAGAAAATAACAGGGTGCCTGAGTGGCTCAGTGGCTTAAGGGTCTGATTTCAGCTCAGGTGATGATAACGTAGTTTGTGAGATCGAGCCCCACGTCTGGCTCCTCCTTGAGCATGGAGCCTGCTCAAGATTCTCTCTCTCTCCCTCTCCATCTGTCCCTCCCCCACTCACACTTACATTTTCTCTCAAAAAATAAAAAAATAAAATGTATATGGAAATGCAAAGGCCATAGAACAGCCAAAACAGTGTTGAAAAAGACAAAGTTGGAAGACTCTCACACTACACCACAGGGATGCATCAGCAGGATCCAGGTTGTAGGAAATAGTACAGGACAAATTAGCTTATATATATGTATGTAACATTATACATACATTATATATGTTACATATAGATGTAACAGCCTGAATTTTGCTGATTCATTTCTGTGGTATGATGTGTCACACAGACACACACACACACACAGACTAAAGACTTAATTAATATCACATTGAAAGCAGAAACATTTATGACATAATTAGAAATCTGAGTAACTGAATACTTAATGAGGTTTAAAATATTAAGATGAAAATGGTATAGCTTATATATACTTAAATTTCTACTTATTTTGTATTCGTTCTCTTATTAATTTCTACCAACATCTACTTTTTTCTCTACGTCTAACAGAGACTAGTAAATATACCCAAGTAATTATTAGTATTTGACTTTCCTCAGCACCAACAGTGTTTAGGGAGAATATAAGGAAAATGTTAAGTTCATGACACTAGCAAAAAAGAGGGGAAATGGTAGCAAAGATCTTTCTAAAATGTAAAATTCTTTAAATGTGGCATGATAAGCACCACTAGATTTAGTATGGGTGGGCAAGAGCCTGTGTGTGGTGGAATTTCAGAGATGTTAGATTTCTCTGCCCCAAATCACCAAGTGGCCAGCTGAATCACTACAGTTCTATGTCACACACGAAGTTTCAGTGAAATTCTAACACTCAGAAGACTCTCTTTAAATTGCAAATGTTCTGGAGAGGTAACCCACTAATCCAATGGAACCCATTAAAAACTTAAAAAGTAGGGGTGCCTGGGTGGCTTAGTCGGTTAAGCATCTGACCTCGGCTCAGGTCATGATCTTGCAGTTCGTGGGTTCAAGTCCCATGTCAGGCTCTGTGCTGATAGCTCAGAGCCTGGAGCCTGCTTCAGATTCTGTGTCTCCCTCTCTATTTGCCCCTCTCCCACTCGTTCTCTGTCTCTCTTTCTCTCTCTCTCTCAAAAATAAACATTAAAAAATTTTTTTAAAACCGAAAAAGTAGTTTAGAATAGTTTAGGTTAGAAAACAGCTTAGAAATAGTTCCGAAATTTAGCTAGAAGGCTAGAAGATCCTGGGATAATGTAAGTCCAACCAGGTTAGTTTAACTAGGAGAGGAGAAAGCTGTGTTCCATGGAAGACCCAGCATGAGTAATCCTAATGCCCAAAGAGACGAAACAGCAGGAACAAACCCTAGCATGCCAATCTGTAGTAACAGATATGAGAGACATCAGACCAGTGTTTAAAAAACTGCCTCTACAACTAGAATTATTTTTTCACAGAACAGAATAGAAAATCAAAATGTACCACAAGTAAGGGTAAGTTTTCTTTCATAAAACTATTTTTCAGGGGTGTGTGTGTACATATGTGCATGTGCACACACACACACACACATTCACATGTAGGTCGAATGTAAAATTATTTTTTTACTATAGATTATACTCAAAAAATGTTTCAGAGACATCACAAGAGTCTATAAGCTTTGGGTGAGCAAAGGCTGTGTCTGCTTTTATTTACCATTATAGCTGCAGAAACAACACAGTGCCTGGCACCCAGCGGACGTTCAATCAACGTCTGTCAGGGGAATGCAAGAATGAGGGCAGATGTTGAAAATACGTGGGGAAGAAACCAATACTAAATTTTATCTACCTCACAATTCTGCTTTGGTCTCTACAGCACCCTAAATAAAAACTCATATTTTTCTCAAAGAGAAGATTCTTTTTAGGGGAGTGATTTATAAAACCTAAAACCCTTTTAAGTTCTAACTTTCAAGCCCATATAGTTATAAAGCCAAAAAGGACTACTCATGCACCAGCCCCCCCTTCCCCAAAGTGCCCTTTTGGGCAATCTTCCTGCCAAAGGAGGTGGGGAGTGGTGGCCTCCATCACTGTCCCAAGCCCTGAATTTTGCTTCCCAACACCTAACCCTAAGAAGCAGGTGAGGTTAAACCAGGAGGCAGAAGAAAAGGGACTGATAAACAAAAATGTCCTTTGATTCTCTCCATATGTACAGACGTCATCAACCCTGCCATCACGACTGCGGCCTGCTAGCCAGATCTGAAACCCAAGAAAGCCAACTGCAGGGTAAGAATGAAGCCACAAAACGCATCTATGGCAGCTTTTGGCTTCTGCAGGAGATGTGCTAATAAGCATTTTATTAATGAAAATTTACGTATCAAATCTACTGTAGCTCCCTGGATTGAGGGTCTAACTGAGTCAGTCATCTCCACAGGAGTAGAAAGAAGTGTGCATGACAGAGCCTGGGGCAAGTGCAGAAATAAGGGGAGGGGGAAGGGTGTGTGCAACAGACCTCTCTTTGCCATGAGTCTCTCTGAAACTGGACACCTGTTTCCCAAGTCTAGAAAAGGAAAACAGTAACAAAAAAAGAGCTTGTGAGAGCGTTCTGAAGCTATTCTCCCAGCCAGAGAGCCCTCTCAAACTGAGAATTGACCTATCTTTTACTACCTGTTTTGTAATATCCTAAACTAAACTGAGTATAGCCACCAAAATGTTCATCTCCCTTCCTATTTTAGAATTCCTTTCTCTTCCCCTCTTTATGCTATAAAAATGTTCTTAACCAAAGGTTGCCACACACCCAGCTCTGTGAACATCCTATGTTATCACATCTTCCCGAATTCCTTCAAGCACTTAGATGAATGACGCTTCTTACACCTCCCTTCAATTTGTTAGCATATGGCTGTATTTTCCAAACTAAAATCCAGTAACTTTTATAGGTTTTGGGTTTTTTTTTTAAGTCCTTTTGCAGAAGTGAAAACAGTTGTGCTTTACTAACCATCTCCATTTATGGTTAAGTGGTTAAGGTAACAGGAGAAACAAAGATGTTGATTTTAGCAATGACTAAACATGAAAGTGAAGGTATAGGAAGTAAATGTTCTCCAAAGAGGCAAAGAACAAGACATGACCACAGAATGAGAGCAGTACCCAAAGGTGTAGACAGATAAAACTGGTCAAGCATTTGGAATAAATTGCTTTCTAAATAAGAAGCAAGCATATGCTATTCTCAAAAATGCCAATTAGCCAATGAACTAAGAAAAAGAATAGCTTGGGGGCGCCTGGCTGGCTTGGTTGGAAGAGCGTGCGACTCTTGATCTTGGGGCTGTAAGTTTAAGCCCGAAGGTGGGTGTAGAGATTACTTTAAAATCTAAAAAAAATAAAAAATAAAGAATGGCTTGAGCTTCTTTGACATTTTTCAAATCTGTAAGCGCCAAGAACTTGAAGAATCTAAAAGGACAATCTCTTATTATCCACTGGTTTATGAACTCACGGATTCTTTTTCATTAGACTTGCTAAATCTCTAAGTGTAAAACAGGTATTTGCAAGCATTCATTTAAAAATGAGAAGAGGGAGGACCCAGAAAAGAACAGCTGGATCTTTAAGGCACTATAAGTACTGATTCAACTCCTAGTATTTTTCTCATTCTAAAGTTCTTACTAAGATGATAACTTTTGCTACCACTTCCTCATAGCACAAATTTGTTACGGTGGTAGGGGAGCCTGAGGTTTATCAGTTGAAGATCAAACCAATTTTGCTATATGTAAATGTGCATTTTGAGTAAGTTAATAAAAGAAATGATTGATAAGCAATAAGACCAAATAAAGTAAGAGCCACCTTTATGACATCTGTGAATGTGGGTCAACAGGGAGAGGTTTAGGAGTAGGAGAAAAGAATTTGTTTGAAGGAAACAGAAACCAAACAACAGACAATTTCACAATACAAAGTCAGAAAAGAAGCAAGACATTCACTGATTCGTTAAATCTAGAAAGCAAGCAATAGCTCATAAGGTTTCCAAGAAAAGGTAAGTCTTTGTGCCCAATATGTGGATGTGGGAGACCAAGGAAACATAACCACTCATACATTAAGAATAGAGGCACGTGGATGGCTCAGTCAGTTAAGCATCCAACTCTCGATTTCAGCTCAGGTCATGATCTCAGTTCAAAAGATTAAGCCCATGTCTGGGCTCTGTGCTAACAGCCTGCTTGGGATTCATTCTCTTTCTCTCTCTCTCTTTTTCTCTCTCTCCACTCCCTATTACCCCTCCCCCACTTGCACATGCATTCCATCTCTCAAAATAAATATACTTAAAAAAAGAATATCCATTAAAAACTAAGTTATAAGTAATAATAACTAAATTAAGGAAGGACAAGGGTTTAGATTATGAGCAGAAATATTAGTGAAAATTAAAAGTAAAAAAGAGCAGCTTTTTTTAAAAAGTATTAAGCTGAGTCAAATAGCATTGAGCAATGAGATTCTGATTTATCTAATAACCTACTTATAGGTGATTTCCTTCCCTGAGATCAACTTAGTCTTACACACCAAACAACGTTTGCACCTTACTATGCTAACTAGTCCCGCCTTCAACTATAGTCACGCACTCTGAGAAGTAAAAGTGAAAACTAAGATAACTCCCACCGCTCCCCTATCCTCTCCCCCTGTTTTACTTTGCCTCATCCTATTCCCTTGCTGGCAGCAGACTGAGGGCTGGAAATGGAAATATCCCTGGGTGAAAGCTGGGAAAATTCCTGTTTGGACCACTCAAAACTTATTATAACACACTTACCAACATCTCCATAAACATACAGGCCCCTTGGAGGTTTGCTCCTTGAAAAAAGCTGTAAATTAAGAACAAATTATAAATCTCTAACATGGAAATAATTAAACGTCACCATATTCATAGTGTTCCTAACTATCACATACAGGAGTAACACAGGCTATTATACACAGTAAGTACAAAAAACCTGACGTGAAAGCTATGAAGCCCAACTTCCGTTCTAATGTAGGAGGCAAGAATCACGTAGCCCAGGGCAAGGGCTGAAGTCACACAACTGGAATTTACACTCCTTATGTCATTTAATAACTATGCCATCTTCCCCGTCTTCCCCAAATGAGCTCCCCAGACAATGATAGCCTAGCTCATTCCAGCTCGCAAGAGAGCGGGGGAGTTTTTATGGAGACACTAAATAGTCTCCAGAAAAGAAAAAGCCCAAAGGTGTGGGCTTATGTGTGGGCTTTTCCCAAAGAAATAACTGGTCCCTATTAGATCACTTCACAGCAGAGCATACCAGCCAACCAACCTCTTATGATGGAACCTTCAATCGACTTGTCAGTATCTGAAAAGATTCTAAAATGAATTGACAGCCAAGAATCAATAGAAACTTGAAAAGAAAAGTGTCCAGGATGAAAGCTGGAGACCAGAGCAAGGGTATAGAGAGCATAAAAACTCAGAGGAAACAGAGACTACAGAGACAGCAAAAGGAAACTTCAAAATAAAACTGGAATCAGTATAATTAAGATGCTGGGGAAAACAAGAGCAGCTTATAAAACTGTAAACCAAAAACAAAATGTAATTTTTAAAAAGGAGCATTAAGAACGAAAGAACACTTTGAAATTTAAAATACAGTAGCAGATCTGCAGCCAGATAAGTAGGCTGTGCTCTTTCCCCATGGGGGCTCAGTGTGCAACGGCTGCAAACAGCAGCCTCCTTGGTAGTGTATGCAGCCCGGTGATTGTATGGGTTGCTCTAAGGGACCTTGGAGACAGTCCTTTCCAGTGGACACTGATGTCTGACCTCACCCTATCTCCAATCTAGGCTTCAGACAGGTATGTGGGGCACCCTTGGAAAGCCCCAGGGCACAGCAGCCAGGATCCACATTGGCCAAGTCATCATGTCCACCCATAACCAAGCTGCAGAACAAGGAGCATGTGATTAAGGCCCCACACAGGGCCAGGTTCAAGTTCTCTGGCTGCCAGAAGATGCACATTTCCAAGAAGTGGGGCTTTACTAAGTTTAATTTGGATGAATTTCATGGTGGTGGGAAAACAGCTCATCCAGATGGCTATGGGGTCAAATAATCTCTAATAATGGCCCCTTGAAAAATGGCAGGCTCTGCACTCATAAGAATGTTGGCACTGAGCCCTCCCTATTCATGACCATCAATAAATCCTACTTCCTGTCTAAAACATAAATACATAAGTACATAAATACATGCATAAATAAAATATGGTAGCAGAGGGGCACCCGGCTGGCCCAGACAGTGGAGCATGCAACTCTTAATCTTGGGGTGGTAAGTTCAAGCCCCATGTTGGGTGTAAAGATTAGTTAAAAATAAAAAATCTTTAGGGGTGCCTAGGAGACTTAGTTGGTTAAGCCTCCAACTCTTGATTTGGACTCAGAATATGATTTCATGATTTGTGAGATCAAGTCCCACATCGGGCTCTGTGCTGACAGCTTCTGAGCCTACTTGGTATTCTCTCTCTCCCTCTCTCTCTCCTCCTCCTCCTCCTCTCTCTCTCTCTCAAAGTGAATAAACATTTTTTTAAAAAATGAAACTACAATAAACAGCAACAAGAATAAATGGGAAATATAAGATTACTGGATTAATTCATTAGGAGGTCCAATATCTGACAAAAAAGGAATTCCAGAAAGAGAAAATAGAGGGAAAAAAGAAAGGAGGAAGTTATCTAAGGAATAATGCCAAGATTTTTCTCAGATTTAAAGGACTTATTTCTAGATTTGGGAGGAAAGAGTAAGTGCCCAGCACAGGGAGGGAAATAAAACCAATACCAAATCATAATCCTGAAATTTTAGACACCAGGGATAGAAAGAACATCCCACAAATGTCCGAGGTGGCCACTGGGGCAAGTAACAAAGGAGTAGGGCAACAGCTCACAAAAAACAGATAAGGAATTGATTTGAGGGGCAATGATTTCCAATCTAATCTATCCAATGTATCCATCAAGTACGAAAATGGAAATTGACATTCCATACATGGAAGGTTTTTTTTTTTTTTAATGTTTATTTTTGAGAGAGAGAGAGAGAATGAATGGGGGAAGAGCAGAAGAAAAGGAGACACAGAATCTGAAGCAAGATCCAGGCTCTGAGCTTTCAGCATAGAGCCCCATGCAGGGCTCGAACTCATGAACCATAAGATCATGACCTGAGCCCAAGTTGGGACACTTAACAGACTGATACACCCAGGCGTCCCCATACATAGAGAGTCTCCCTAACAGAGATAGGAACTCCCAGGCTCCGGGAAAGACAAAGGGTCCTGGGAAGGAAGCACTGGTAAGAGAGAGGGTTGCTCCGGAAGCAGAGGCACAAGCATATCAAGAAAGCAATCAAGTCCAGATCAAAACAGGAGGATGGAGGGCTCCAAGGAAGAAACAAACTGGAACTTCTCTTTGCCTAATACTGTTATTAACCCAAATAACCATACTAAATTTTGTTCCACTTAGAAGAGGAACCTTCAAACTCTGCAACAGTTTTTAGACACCTGTGCAAAAACCAAGGTAAGCAAGAACAGAGAGAATTCAGGTAGGATAAAAGCAGAAAGAGGCAAAGGTTATGCCTCTTAGCACAAACCAGAGCAGTCAGGAGTTTGGCAGAGAGCATACTCAAGGGCTAGATATAATCTAGTATATATTGCTGTTGTTTTTAATCTGTGGGTTCATTCCAGCATGTCTCAGAAACTTCTCTTGCTTTCCTGTCCCTCTCAGCTTTGTCTATAAATCCATCTCCTGACTCTAGCATGCCCCTTCCCAACCATTGAGGCAAAGGGGTGTTCTTTGCTTTGAATCTGCGAGCTGACTGCATTCCCGGTGTTCCTCTGCACATTAACTCTCAATCTATTCTTAAATCTCAACTGAAAACAGATTCCACTCCTGCCAAAACCTCTTAATTTGTTTTGTTTTAAGATCTTACATGAGCCATTCTTGTACACTGGTTATGCTATTTTCAACTTGCCAGAAAAAAAGCATTACGCTTTTAAATAATTTTAGAACAGCTTCAAATTTGAAAGCCTACATAGAACTTCATAATCTCTAAGTATATTCTATGTATTAGAAATCTTTTGAGGGGCGTCTGGGTGGCTCAGTCAATTAAGCTACCAACACTTGCTTTCAGCTCAGGTCATGATCTCATGATTTGTGAGACGGAGCCCCGCATCTGGATCTGTGCTGACAGCATGGAGTCTGCTTGGGAATCTCTTTCCCCAACTCCCTCTCTCTCTGCCCCTCCTCCCCACCTTCTCGCAAAATAAATAAACTTAAATTTTAAAAATCTTTTGAAAGCAATGTTCTGTATTAGGTAACTCCACAGGTCATAGCAATTCATAGTTCTTCACATTTTGTAGGAACAGTCTAGGATCTACTCTAGTATTATTCACATGAGATCATCAATATATACTAAATAAATGGAGTTCAAGGCAAAAATTTAACAAAGATTGGAGGGAAAAGATGACACAGAGAGAACTCAATGCTGACCAAAAAAAAAAAAAAAAAAATAGTATATGGTCCTATCTTCTGTTTTACTCAAACTCAACATATTTTGGAAAAAGCATTTTGGCAAATGTTGTATTACACTATATATTACATACATATTTTTAAATTATATAATATGTATTACATATACATATTATAACATGTTAGATATCATCTACCTAAACAATATATACTCCAAGTATTTTCACTTGTAGTGGTAAGCTAATTTTCTCCTAATATACTTTCAGTCATCCAAAAATTACTGAAATTATTTCAAGGGATTTAAATATCTATATTTTTTAAAGTTTTTAAAAATTTTTATTCATTTTGACAGAGAGACAGAGAACATGTGCACAGGGGAGGGGCAGAGAGAGAGAGAGGAAGAATCCCAAGCAGGCTCTTTACTGCCAGTGCAGAGCCCAACATGGGGCTCGATCCCACCAACTGTGAGATCATGACCTCAGCCAAAACCAAGAGTTGGATGCTCAACCAACTAAGCCACCCAGGCACCCCTAAAAATCTATATTTTGGGGCACCAGGATGGCTTGCTCAGTAGAACGTGAACTTTTGATCTCAGGGTTGTAAGTTCGAGCCCCAAGTAGAGATTGGGTATAGAGATTACATAAAATTTTTTAAAAAATAAAAATAAAAAGATGAAAATCTGTATTTTAAGAGGAAACTCAGGATTGAATGGTGAACAGTAAGACTAAAACAGGTCTTAAAGAAGTTTTGAAATTATTTATAGCAGTGAATTCACAGAAAGTGAGGTTCACAGTTTTCTTCAAAACGACTTAGAGAGGAACCCACATCATTTACATGCTCCTAATTTACATTTTCTCACAATTTACCCTATTTTTCAGTTCCATTAAATTTCCTTTATGATGTTTTAATTTTTTTAAGTTTATTTTGAGACCACAAGCGTGAGCAGGGGAGAGGCAGAGAGAGAGGGAGTGAGAGAGAGACAGAATCCCAAGCAGTGTCCGGGCTCTCAACACAGACCCTGAAGTGGGGCTCGAACCCATGAACCTTGAGATCCTGACCTGAGTTGAAATCAAGAGTCAGACTCTTAACTGACCTAGCCACCCACGTATCCCTATGTTTTCATTTCTATTATTTGTTCTTAGGTCTCAGAAAACTCCACCCTGCTATCATTCTTAGGTGCTGATATTCTCCATTTATTCCCCTCCCTGAACCATCTCCTCCTACCAGCTCTGCAGCCCAGGAGGTGACTGCTAGCTGGCCTCAGACCCTGCAACATACTACTTGTAGGCGATGGAAGAGAGGGCGTAGAGAAAGTCAGACCATTCCTTCCTGTTCCCTCCTGGCTTCATTGCTAGGTCTCTGGCAGAGCTGC